ATATTATATTTAGTTGGTCAATTAATTTATTTCTATTTTTGGTAGAGACGGGGTCTCGCTCAGGCTGGTTCGAACTCCTGACCTTGAGCAATCACCCGCCTCGGCCTCCCAAAGTGCTAGGATTACAGGCGTGAGCCACCACGCCCGGCCTAAATAGCATATTTTTAATATAAATATGCAACAAAAACTCAATAGAAACTACTAGAATTCCCCATTATAACCAAGGTGCAAGAAAAAGGGTACCCAGCCTCAAAGCACACTGTATGATAAAGTAAACACTATCTCAGAAGCTCAAAGAGTCAGAATATACACACATTTATCTCACATTAAAAATCACCATCCTAGGCCAGGGCGCTGTGGCTCACGCCTGTAATCCTAGCTCTTGTGAGGGCCGAGGGCGGGCGGATTGCTCAAGGTCAGGGTTCAAAACCAGCTGAGCAAGAGCGAGACCCTGTCTCTACTATAAATAGAGAAAGTTAATTGGCCAACTGAGTATATATAAAAAAAAATTAGCCGGGCATTGGCGCATGCCTGTAGTCCCAGCTACCCGGGAGGCTGAGGCAGAAGGATCACTCGAGCCCAGGAGTTGAGGTTGCTGTGAGCTGGCTGACGCCACGGCACTCACTCTAGCCTGGGCAACAAAGCGAGACTCTGTCTCAAAAAAAAAAAAAAAAAAAAATCACCACCCTGTCTCTACTATAAATAGAAAGAAATTAATTGGCCAACTAATATATATAGAAAAAATTAGCCAGGCATGGTGGTGCATGCCTGTAGTCCCAGCTTACTTGGAAGGCTGAGGCAGGAGGATTACTTGAGCCCAGGAGTTTGAGGTTGGTGTGAGCTAGGCTGACGCCATGGCACTCACTCTAGCCTGGGCAACAAAGTGAGACTCTGTCTCAAAAAAAAACAAAAACAAAAGACCAGACTGAGCAACATAGTGAGGCACCATCTCCAAAAAAAAAAAAAAAAAAAAAATTAGCCAGGTGTGGTGGCATGCACCTGTAGTCCCAGCTATTAAGGAGGCTGAGGCAAGGGGATCTCTTGAGCCCAGTAATTTGACGTTACAATGAGCTATGACAACGCCATTGCACTCCAGCCTGGGCAACAGAATGAGACCCTGTCCCAAAACAGAAAATAGAAAAAAGTTTTAGTTTGTCATTTATAAGAATAGGTGTTTATTAAGGACTAATAGGTGAGTTTTTTTTAGTTCACAGACCCCTCGCCCCCTTTTTTTTTTGAGACAGAGTCTCGCTTTGTTGCCCAGGCTAGAGTGAGTGCCATGGCATCAGCCTACCTCACAGCAACCTCAAATTCCTAGGCTCAAGCGATCCTACTGCCTCAGCAGTGACTGGGACTATAAGCATGTGCCACAATGCCCAGCTAATTTTTTCTATATATATTAGTCGGCCAATTAATTTCCTTCTATTAATAGTAGAGACGGGGTCTCGCTTTTGCTCAGGCTGGTTTCGAACTCCTGACCTTGAGCAATCCTCCTGCCTCGGCTTCCCAGAGTGCTAGGATTACAGGTGTGAGCCACGGCGCCCAGCCCATAGACCCCTTTTAATGCCTGCTTAGTGCCAAGTACTGCAGAAATTGTGGCTAGAGCCTGAAGTTGCTACCAGGTTAGAAGGGTAAAAAGACATGTTTGTAATGAATGATAATGAAATGTGATAAGCACTGCAGTTGCAAAATAAATATGATAATGTGACATCTTGAAGAAGTGGTTGTAAGACTTGTATACACGCTCACACAGCCATGTAAAATCAAAGGGAGTAAAGGTTAGCAAGATTTTAGATGATGAGTTTTGCCATGTGGGAAAGAGGTGGAAAGAAAGCATTCTGGACTGGACAAAGAAGAGGTATAGTGACATGGAATTGTGAAAGTAAATGTTTGAGAAGAGCCAAGAGGGTTAGTATGAAGAGAAGTGATGGGGACTGAAGCCTGAGAAAGCCACACTTGACTGTTCATGTGATATTGTGGAGTAGCAGTCCCCAGCTTTTTTGGCACCAGGAACCGGTTTCATGGAAGACAATTTTTCCACGGACTGGGGGAAAGGGACAGTTTAAGGATGATTCAAGTGCATTACATTTATTGTGTAGTCAGACCTCTCTGCTAATGATAATCTGTATTTGCAGCCACTCACCAGCACTAGCATCACCACCTCAGCTCCACCTCAGGTCACCAGGCATTACATTCTCATAAGGAGCGCACAACCTAGATCCCTTGCATGGGCAGTTTACAGTAGGGTTCACGCCCATTGTAAGAATCTAATGCCACTGCTGACCTGACAGGAGGTGGAGTTTATGCCGTGATGCAAGCAACAGGGGGCAGCTGTAAATACAGATAAGGTCACTTGCTGGCCCACCACTCATCTCTTGTTGTGGGCCCCGGTTCTTGATAGACTATGTGGCCTGGAGGGTTGGAGACTGCAGCTGTGGACAGAAGGATGACACCTGACTGTTTAATTACAGGACTGGTCAATTACAGACGGTAGTCACAGGGCAAGATATTGTTTTGCTAGCAAATGTTAATACATACACCATAAGAAGAAAGGGCTAATTAATTATTAGGTCCAGGCCATTAAGGGAAAGAATTAAGAAGGGAGAGAGCAGTGTGGGTTGCACTAATATCAGCCACATTGAGCATGTGAAGGTTTTAATAGTTACTATATCTATATTTTGTTTCTGTATATTGTAGTAATGGGATGGGGGAGAAGAAAGCCCTTATTATTCATTTAAAATAGTAGTAACATTAAAGTTCAAATATTTTTCCAGGGGTCCTCACACTTTTTTTTTGAGACAGAGTTTTGCTTTGTTGCCCAGGCTAGAGTGAGTGCTGTGGCGTCAGCCTAGCTCACAGCAACCTCAAACTCCTGGGCTTAAGCAATCCTACTGCTTCACCCTCCCGAGTAGCTGGGACTACAGACATGCACCACCATGCCCGGCTAATTTTTTCTATACATATTAGTTGGCCAATTAATTTCTTTCTATTTAAGGTAGAGATGGGGTCTTGCTCTTGCTCAGGCTGGTCTCGAACTCTTGACCTTGAGCAATTCACTCGCCTAGGCCTTCCAGAGTGCTGGGATTACAGGCGTGAGCCACCGCGCCCGGCCTCGTCCTCAAACTTTTTAAACCGGGCCAGTTCAGTGTCCCTCGGACCATTGGAGGGCCGTTGGAGAGCGCGGCGCACATTCCACACATGCACACTGTGGGCCCGGGACGAGTTGGCTACTAAGCAGGACAGGCAGCAGTAGCAAAAACACCCGGTGGGCCAGATAAATGTCCTTGGAAGGCCAGGTAAATGTCCTCAGCAGGCTGCATGTGGCCCACGGGCCGTAGTTTGAGGACCCCTTAATTCACTTTTATAAAAGTGATTTCAGGTTTGGCAAAAAGAGATTACTATAGGCTTAGTTTAAAAATATTAATTATTTGTTAAATATGGTGACTGGAGATTTGCTATGAAAATTTTAAAATGTAGATTATAAAACTTATCAAGAGAAGGGATATTTATGGCAATATATTAAACTTTAAAAATTGTCCATTGTTTGACTTCTGCAGTATCAACCATATCATATCAACTTTAGGGTATTTTATAAGGAGAATTTTGGGCTGAGCACAGTGGCTCACTCCTGTAATCCTTGCACTCTGGGAGGCTGAGGCAGGAGGATTGCTTGAGGTTAGGAGTTCGAGACCAGCCTGAGTAAGAGCAAGACCCCATCTCTACTAAAAATTAGCTGGGTGTTATGGTGTTCGTCTGTAGGCCCAGCTAGTCGGGAGGCTAAGGCAGGAGGATTGCCTGAGCCCAGGAGTTTGAGGTTACTGTGAGCTATAATGATGCCACAGCACTCTACTCAGGACAATGGAATGAAACTCTGTCTCAAAAAAAAAAAAGTTGGTGTCTATTAAGTTTGTATACATAATGATACTTGTGGGCATTCTTTCTGTTTATTCAGCATTTCTTGAGTAACTACTGTGGTGGAGTTATAAACATGATCTCTGACCTCAAAAAGTGCTCAATCTTTGTTTTTTCCTTTCTCAAAACTATAATTGTAGTATTTTTTAGGGGGGAGGGTTTGTTTGTTTTTGGTGCTAGCCTCTCTCTTCATTTGAACTTAATGTTTTTACCTTAGGTGCCCTTAAATCTGTTTAGAGAGACCAAGAGATGTATAGGAATGAATTTTCCTCATATCCCAAATTGAGGCTTCTTTCTTCCTAACCCTAAAGATGACAAATGGTGAACCCTTAGGCATCATGTGAATCCCAATTGTTCTGTTCTCTTTGTTAGTAATTTAGAGTATTATTCTTAGATCATGAACACCACAGATCAGACTCTTGAGTCCCTGTACAGTCTTCAGTACTAGTCTGTTGAGACAGCCCTGCTTTGAAGGCATTCTGGCCAGATGACTGCAGTATTTACTGCTTGTAGAGTTTTCACACCTTTAATAATATTGTGCTATTTGTACACAGAGGTGACTCATCCTCGCCCCTAATGCTTTAAAGTAGAATTTTTGAGCCCCTCTTTTAGCATAATTATATTAATAAGAAATGTAATATCCTAAAATCCTGCTTGATTGAACCTCCAGTTTCCCTTTCTCTTGTAGGTAAGAACTCAGGGCCCTATCCTCACAGCAAGTGGCAAAAATCCTGTAATGGAGCTCAATGAAAAAAGAAGAGGTCTCAAGTATGAACTCATCTCGGAGACTGGGGGAAGCCATGACAAGCGTTTTGTAATGGAGGTGTGTGCCTTGATACGAACCAGCCTTATTTTTCCTCACAAAGACATAGGATATTCTGAAATTATATGTAAAAAAAGTTTTAGACTGAGGGAGTTCTGTGGCACTGTTAGATTTTTTTCATGTTTTCTATGTTAGGATACATTTAAATTAAAACTACATAGAGGAATTGCATGGCATAATTACAAAGTATTGTTCTTGGTTTTAGGTAGAAGTAGATGGACAGAAATTCAGAGGCGCAGGTCCAAATAAGAAAGTGGCAAAGGCAAGTGCAGCTTTAGCTGCCCTGGAGAAGCTGTTTTCTGGACCCAATGCAGCAAATAATAAGAAAAAGAAGATTATCCCTCAGGTATGAAGTTAAGCATTAAACTTTACAGAACATTTGAGAAATGTTATAGGAATTAAATTTGCTTTCTTGTCCACATGCCACTTTAGCTTTTTCTGAAGTTGTTTCTTATTCCTACATTTGGCAGTCTTTTCTTTGGGTTAGGTCATGAATAATATATAATAAATGTATTAGTGGTTGCCTGTTCTGTGGTCTTTCTAAACATATATGTCAAAAAGAGTCTGGCCAGGTGTGGTAGCTAATGCCTATAATCTGAGCACTTTGGGAGGCTAAGGTAGAAGGATCGCTTGAGCTCAGGAGTTTGAGACCAGCCTGGGCAACATACCAAGACACCATCCCTACAAAAAAAAAATAAAATCAGCTGGGCATGGTGGCATGTGCCTGTAATCCCAGCTACATGAGAGGCTGAGGCAGGAGGATCTCGAGTCCAGGAATTTGAGGCTGAAGTGAGCTATGTTTGGGTTGCTGGACTCTCCAGAGCAAGACCATATATTAAAAAAAAAAAAAAAAAAAAGAAAGAAAGGAACAGTGGCTATTAGCCTTATATAGAGGGTTGAGGTCATGCTTGATGAGGTAAAGTGTTGAAGTGATTTGGACCTTGATAAGGTACAAGCAGTTGTTTAGGAAGCTGCCAAGAGTACTTGGGGCTTATATTCATCATGGTTTGCAGGTGCTCTTCCAGTTCTGTCATTTTGCTTTATTTTGGATTTTCCTTTGTGATGGCACAAAATTTGACACTTTTTTTTTTTTTGAGACAGAGTCTCACTTGTTGCCCAGGCTATAGTGAGTGCCGTGGTGTCAGCCTAGCTCACAGCAACCTCAAACTCCTGGGCTCAAGTAATCCTTCTGCCTCAGCCTCCCGAGTAGCTGGGACTACAGGCATGTGCCACCATGCCTGGCTAATTTTTTTTATATACATATATATTAGTTGGCCAATTAATTTCTTTCTATTTATAGTAGAGACGGGGTCTCGCTCTTGCTCAGGCTGGTTTCGAACTCCTGATCTTGAGCAATCCGCCCGCCTCGGCCTCCCAGAGTGCTAGGATTACAGGCGTGAGCCACCTCGCCCGGCCAAAATTTGACACTTTGTTGCTTCTGTTTATTGTTGGCCTTGGGGATGTCAGTACTTCTAAAGGCCAAGGATCTTAGCAAGGTATTTAGGAAAAAATGGCCTCTAAATTACATGCTCATGGATACGATATTATTCCATCCATTCATTTATGCATGCAGAAATATTTTCTAGATGTATACTATATCTATGATTATGTGAGAAAAAGAATTACATCAGTAAATATGACATTCTTTGACTCATGGAGAGTACTAGTATAATGTATCAATACATTATGTGACAGAAGCATAAATTAAAAATGCTTAGACTAAGGCCGGGCGCGGTGGCTCACGCCTGTAACCTAGCCACTTGGGGCCGAGGCGGCGGTTCTCAGGTTTAGATTCAAACCAGCTGAGCAGAGCGAGACTCTGTCTCTACTATAAATAGAATAAATTATTGCACAATATATATAGAAAAAATTAGCTGGGCATGTGATGCCACTGTAGTCACCCAGCTTACTCGGGATCGAGGCAGTAGGATTGCTTTGAGCCCAGGAGTTTGAGGTTGCTGTGAGCTAGGCTGACGCCACAGCACTCACTCTAGCCTGGGCAACAGAGTGAGACTTGGTCTCAAATTGCTTAGACTAATAGAGTGAAGCTAGATAGATTCGATGTTAACATTTCTTTATATCTTTACATGCTAAGCCCTTTGTAGGAGGTTAATATCTCATTTTACAGATAAGGAAATGAGGCCAAAAATAGAATATTGCCAGTAGTACATAGCTAATTGATAGTAGAGTTCATTTTATTTTATTTTATTTTTTTTTTTTTTAGAGGTTCATTTTAAAACCAGGTCTTCTCCTTCCGAAGGTCATGGGCATTTTACTTTTGCATATTATATCAACTAGAAATTTGTTTCATATTTACTGTAATTACTGCTTAAACTAGGATTCAAAAGATAGAGAAAACTAGCTTTTACAGAGATGAAATAAAATAATACATACATAAAAGTAAGATTTTTTTTCCTAAAATCTTCTAGTAAATATAAGAAAAAATTCCTAGATTAGTAGAAAAATAATGTTACCTTGTATTTTTTCCCACATTAATTTTGTATTTGTCAATTAATTCTAGTGTTAAAAAAGTCTTATGTGCAGATAATATAGGAATAAAGTTTGTCCAGTGACATCAGCTAGATTTGTGTGGAATCACTGTGCTTCTGCCAGATTGTTGCTTCCTGATTACTTTGACTAGACCATGTTAAAAAAAAAAGATCTATAGGAAGTTCACTCATTTTTAGAAATTTCCCTACTAGAACTGTAAACTCATGTGCTCAATGTGCTTGATAGCCAAGAAACAGTCTATTTTGGATGTGTGGGTTGGTTTATTTTAGGCAAAGACAAAAATGGCTGCCTGTGTATGGTACATTTGACCTTGAAACTGTCTTCTGCTAGTTGCATTAGAGTAGAGGCTATCCTGGAGGAAAAAGATGGTGATTTTTTTTTTTTTTTTTTTTGAGACAGAGTCTCGCTTTGTTGCCCAGGCTAGAGTGAGTGCCGTGGCGTCAGCCTAGCTCACAGCAACCTCAAACTCCTGGGCTCGAGTGATCCTTCTGCCTCAGCCTCCCGGGTAGCTGGGACTACAGGCATGCGCCACCATGCCCGGCTAATTTTTTTTTTTTTATATATATCAGTTGCCAATTATTTCTTTCTATTTATAGTAGAGCAAGGGTCTCGCTCTTGCTCAGCTGGTTTTGAACTCCTGACCTTGAGCAATCCGCCCGCCTCGGCCTCCCAAGAGCTAGGATTACAGGCGTGAGCCACAGCGCCCGGCCTAGGATGGTGATTTTTTAATGTGAGATAAATGTGTGTATATTCTGACTCTTTGAGCTTCTGAGATAGTGTTTACTTTATCATACAGTGTGCTTTGAGGCTGGGTACCCTTTTTCTTGCACCTTGGTTATAATGGGGAATTCTAGTAGTTTCTATTGAGTTTTTGTTGCATATTATATTAAAATATGCTATTTAGGCCGGGCGTGGTGGCTCACGCCTGTAATCCTAGCACTTTGGGAGGCCGAGGCGGGTGGATTGCTCAAGGTCAGGAGTTCGAAACCAGCCTGAGCGAGACCCCGTCTCTACCAAAATAAAATAAATTAATTGACCAACTAAAATATAATACAAAAATTCCCGGCATGGTGGCGCGTGCCTGTAGTCCCAGCTACTCGGGAGGCTGAGGCAGTAGGATCGCTGAGCCCGGAGATTGGAGTTGCTGTGAGCCAGGCTGACGCCACGGCACTCACTCTAGCCTGGGCAACAAAGTGAGACTCTGTCTCAAAAAGAAAAAAAAAAAAATATGCTATTTAATTTAAAACTAGACACCTTTTGTTTTTCTTAAAATATCATTTTAGAAACTGTTTCAGCAGTCCTGTGTACTCTTACTCCTGGACTTATCTCTTCTGCTTTACAGAATGTCTTTCTGTTCTCTCAATTGCTCTTTGTAGTCTAAAGTAAGGAAAACAAAGTGGGTATCATTATCCTCATTTTATAATTTTAGTGGGAGACTTCCATAGAGAGATATTATGTGACTTTACCAGTGTTGCATTTTAGAGCAAGGAAGAGGCTTTTGAGGTGGTATTTATTTATTTAATAGTTAATACATTTTTACACATACACAGACAGCAGAGGAAGTAAGTTCAAAGAAATCCCATGACCTTCCTGAAATCACAGTTACCTAAAGCAGGAACTGACATCCTCATCTTTGGTCCTCCTGTCTTAGTCCTTTTTTTGTTCTTAACCTGGCTCAGATTCACAGCTTATACTCTGTAGCTGCTGGGGTATTTTCTGCCTGTGGATGGAGAATTCAGTGGATTTGGAACCTAGGTATCAACTGTCTATAATTACTTTAGTCAGGCCCAAAATGACTTTGGATATTACAGTAGTAGTAATTTGATACTGAAATTCGTGTGTACAAAATGAACTCTTTCTGGGTAACACCCAAATGAAAAGTTTGCATGCTTATATTTGCCTAGCATATTCTCTTAAACAACTCTGTAAGGCAGATGTCATTTTCATTTTATAGATGATAAATTGAAGGTTTAAGATCACAGAGAAATCACTGTCTCACCTACAGGCTCATAGCTTCTCATAGTGGTTGTGCGTTAAAGAGATGACAAGATGATAGTTCTGCTCTCAGTAATGAAAATATGTTATTTTGAACAGGCGAAGGGTGTTGTGAATACAGCTGTGTCTGCAGCAGTCCAGGCTGTTCGGGGCAGAGGAAGAGGAACTCTAACAAGGGGAGCTTTTGTTGGGGCGACAGCTGCTCCTGGCTACATAGCTCCAGGTATAGTACAGCCTATAAGAGATGGGCCCCCTTTTCTGGGCCAAAATTTGAAGAACAGCATCTCCATTTTCCAAGGTTATACAGGGTCTCTGGAAATACAACACGGGATAAGATGAATTTACACAGAAATTCAAAGTAGAGAATCTACAGAATGTCATAGGTTTTCTCCTGGAATCTGCTAAGTTATTATTGGCTTCCTGGAGGGAGATGACAGATGAGCAATACTGTATTTGGTTGAGGGAACATATTTTGATTAGGAATTATGAGAAGTTCCACAGATTGAGGAGTTTGGACATCTGAGCAGAGTGTATTCATCGGGGACGTAGATGACAGGTTAGGTATATAACAGGAGAGAAAAATTGCTGATAAGAGGCTGTTTAATGGGCGAAGCCTGGCATTATTAGTCTTTGTTAAACTTAGTGTTTGGGAACTGTCATAAACTAAAGTATAAAAAGGAAAAAAAGCGTGGTGGTGGGGGAGGTTGGGCACTCATTTATCCAGTGCTTACTATATACCAGATACTTTTATGTAAATGATTTCACTTAATTGTTTTTAATCCTCACAGTATTTCCTCAGGTAGAAGTTATTTTCCAGGTAAGGAGACTGAGGTTTAGGGAGATAAGGCAAGTAGCCCAGGGTGAAACAACTCCTAAAAATCTGACTAAGGATTTGAATGTAGGTGTTTGCATTTCCAAAGTTTATATTCTTTCCATTTCACCTCTCCCTGCCTTCTGTTCTGATCCTTATGTCATTTTAGTAGTAGACGTATAGTTGTCTCATTAAAATCAAGTTCTTTGCAATATTGAAAGTATGGTACTTTTAACTTGATATGTAAACCACTTGTAGTTCCTGGTAATGATGAATTTGTTATAAAGTTTGGGTCCAGTCATTATTTTTCAGATAATATCCTTAAGGGTTCACTTTGGTTATATTTTCCTCCTAGAAAGAATTAGAATAGGCCATTTGGGAAGGGTTTTTGCCCTTTTTTTTGGAGACAGGGTCTTTCTTGCTCTCTCACCTGGGCTAGAGTGCAGTGGCATCATCATAGTTCATTGCAACCTCAAACTTCTGGGCTCACGAAATCCTCCTGCCTCACCCTCCAAGTACAGGGAATTACAGGCACATGCCACTATGCCTTTTTTTTTTTTTTACTGCAAGTCATGGTACATCTATTTTTAAATTATTGAAAACCTAGCTAAGTGGACTAGTAGAATTTTGCAAATTTGCTAGAAAGGCAGTCAGAGCACCAAAACAGCTGGTTTACCAATTTCTCCAGTTTATATTATTCTCACCATTTCTGGCATTCCTGTACCAAATTCCAATGAGGACTGACTAATTTTAAATTAAAATTTAAAATTTTAATTTTAAAATTTTTTGTGGAGATGGTGTCTTGATATGTTGCTCAGGCTGGTCTTGAACTCCTAGCCTCAAGCAATCCTCCTGCCTTGGCCTTCCAAAGTACTAGGATTATAGGCGTGAGCCACTGTGCCTGGCCCATTTGGAGAGTTTTATGAATGATGTGGTTTTGGAATTTTTATAGAAGCTGATTCTAGTAGGTACATCACTCAAAGCTGTCTTATAAAGAGTGTGCCTGCTTTGGCACATACCAGGCATGGATTTTGCTCTCATGCAGCTTATGCAGCTTAAAGGGTGAGATGTAGATTAATCAAGTAATAACAGTTATAAACTGAGATGAGTGTGAGGAAGGAGGACATAATGCTATGAGAACATGTAACAGAGGAACCTAATCTAGTCTAGTGGATCCCCGGAGGATTAGTGGAATAAGTAACATTTGAATTGAGCTTTGAAGAATGAATAGGAGTTAACTAAGAGAAGACTGAGTTAGAAGAATATTGCTCACAGAGGGATAAGCATGTGCAGAGGCCCTGTGGTGTTGGTGGTGGGGAATTTGGCTTCTTTGAAGAAGCAGAAGAAGCCTGAAATGTCTCGAGCATGGGTGCGGCGGAGAGATTGTAAGTGATGTGAGCTCAAGCTGATTGTCAGTCCCTGGGGGCCATAGTTTGGATTTTGGACTTAGAATCCTAAGTGCAAAGAAGTCATGATAGGTTCTAAGGAGCATCGACAAGATCAGACTTTATTTATGAAGATTATTTTTTATATACTGTAAAGAATAGATTATGGAGATAGGAGTGGGCATGAGAAGACCAGTTAGAAGGCTATTGCATATAGTTTACAGTTATCTATTGTGCATTTCAATATATCTAGAAGAGAATAATTCATATGGTTCTAGCATAAAGAAAAGACAAATATTTAAGGTAATGGATATCCCCAGTACACTTATTTGATCTTTTCAAATTACATGACTGTGTTAAATTATCACATGTACCCTGAAATTGTGTACATCTATTGCATGTTAATTAAAAAGAAAAAAAGAAGGCTGTTGCAAACTACTAAGTCAGAGATGATAGAAGCATTGCCAGTGGAGGCAGGGAATTGGATGGGAGGCAAGAAGAGAATAGATTGGAGGAATTTTGAAGAAGCAAACCTGATAGATTTAATATAAAATGATGGGCTGGGCGTGGTGACTCACGCCTGTAATCCTAGCTCTCTGAGAGGCCGAGGCAGGTGGATCACTCGAGGTCAGGAGTTTGAAACCATCCTGAGCAAGAGGGAGACCCCGTCTCTACTAAAAGTTAAAATTGGCCAACCAAAAATATATAGAAAAAATTAGCCGGGCATGGTGGCGCATGCCTGTAGTCCCAGCTACTCGGGAGGCTGAGGCAGAAGGATTGCTTGAGCCCAGTAGTTTGAGATTGCTGTGAGCTAGGCTGACGCCATGGCACTCCAGCCAGGGCAACAGAGTGAGACCCTGTCTCAAAAAAAAAAAAAAAAAAAAAAAAAAAAAAAAAAAATATATATATATATATATATATATATATAAAGAGTGAGGTTTCAAACATATCTCATCTCCTAGGATTTTTAGTTAGGGGAACTAAGTGGGATGATTTTGTCATTTAATGAGATAGCACTAAAAGATGAGCATTAGGGGGAGAAAGAAAAGGTTATGAGTTTTCTTACAGTTTGATACAGCATATGTGTCCAAAATTAAGATATTCTGGGCATCCCTATTTTTACTAAATCTTAATATTTTTAGCTTTATTCAGTGCATTATTGAAAGGGCAAAGCTTTTATTAACAATAATAGGCAAGTTATTGAAATGAGCCTTTCTTGTCTTTGGTGATGTGTTCCACTGGGGCTTAATCTGGTTGCATTAACCTCCCCTGGTCCAGTGGCAGTAATCAGGAGAGGAACTATTTATGTCTGCTAGTTGCCAGGCCTTTTTGCTCTAGAGTGGCTTCTCTCTAATGCCTTTGTGTTGATCTCTCTGAAAGGCCTGTCTCCTGAAGCTTTTAAAAAGGAAGTTCTTTTATGGCCTAGATTTAAATTACATTAGTTTATATTATGAATAGGTTATATGCCATTTGTGGAGTATATTCTGTGAAGCAGGGACTGTTATAAGTATATTTATGTATATCATATAATTCAGCTCCCCTGCCAACTCAGTTACTGCACATGACATTGAGGCTCAGAGAGGTTAAACAACAAGTACAAGTCAAAGACACCTTGCTAGTAAAAGGTGAAGTCAGGACCCTTCAGTGACCTGCTTAGTAGTTGTAGTCTCATCCCTCTTTAAGGGGGTTTTGATAAAACTCTTTAAACTATAGCCTTAGCCAAATAGACTAAGTTGTATTACCCCCAGTTTTATGTGACTTAACTATAGACTGAAAAGTAAAAATTTTTCATCCCTCAGGATAAGTTTCGATTTGGTCCCTAAAAGTATTTTTTACTTCTTCCGCATACGTTGAGTGCTTTTTCTCGAACAGGAGAACTGGCATCCAGAGATGCCTTAAGATCTAGCATTTGCCTCAATGAATGCTTGGGGTCAGATGGGATAGGAACAGATATTTGAATAAACAAAATGTAATATGATGATGCAAGCTGTAACATGGGATGGGCAAAGGAGTGAACAGCAAACTTGAGAGACTTCACAGACATGGTGATATTTGATCCTGATCTCAAGGATGAATTGCAGTTGGTCATTCAGAGAAGGAGGGAACAAAAATCACTATGAGCAGAAGAATTGGTTATAGAAAAAGGACTTGTAACGTGGAAAAACTTGATGTGGTTTGGGTATAGCGTGAAAGTCCCATGTTGACTTTGCACCCTAGTTCTGTTAGACACTTCTTTTTTCTAGAGATTTACCCAAGTGATTTTGTATTTATATATTTTTAAGATATTTTACTGAAAGAATAAAGATTGCAGCTTCTACTAACATAATATTTCTAATCTGTACAACAAAATTATAAAGTAGTTTGGGAGATTTCCCATTTCATAGATGAAAAAATGGGACTCAGAAGTTAATTGTCTAAATAAGGACATAGAAGAAATTAGGCCAGGTGCAGTGGCTCATGCTTGTAATCCCAACACTTTGGGAGTCCAAAGCAGAAAGACTGCTTGAGGCCAGGAATTTGAGATCAGCCTGGCAACATAGTGAGACCCCATCTCTAAAAAAATAGAAAAATTAGCTGGGCCTAGTGGTGAGCATCTATAGTCCCAGCTACTCAGGAGGGTTGAGGTAGGAGAATCACTTGAGCCCAGGAGTTTGAGATTGTAGTGAACTATGATTGTACCAATGCATGCCAGCCCGGGCAACAGCGAGATCGAGTCTCAAAAAAGAAATTAACAATTGGTTCAAAAATTTTTGTGTTCTTTAATACTAGTTTTTACTTAATAATATGAGCCTTTTTCATAGACACTGGATGTACTGTCAAATTCACCAGCATTTACTGTGATGCTAAGGCCAGGAATTCAGATATCAACAAGTCATAGACCTTGCCCTTGAGTTCACAAGCTGACCCATGTGTCTTCTGTAATGGCAATTGAGGCCTCAGCCTGCTCTGTCACTACTTTCTGAAAAGAGACTTGGAAAGTTGTTTTCTAATTTTGGGAAATTGGTAATTTTTTCTAAGTATTTTGTTTGACAAATATCTAGTGAATGGTTCCTATATGTTAAACATCCTGCTAGGTTCAGATGATGGAAAGACAGAAAAAATTGACCAGGTCTCTCCCACTCTAGTGGGTAACACAGACAAGAGGTAGATACTTATTAATATAATGCATTGTGGGAAGTACAGTGAGAAATAAATGCAAGATAGTGAGGTAGATCAAGAAGAGCCTTGTAGGTCATGGTGAGGAGCTTCCACATCTAAGCAAGCACAGGGTGGCTAGACTACTCTGGCAGTGGTTCTTATTCATACACTATCTGGAAGAAGTCCTCAGGGTCCATGGTCTTGGGCCAGGTAGTGCTGGTGAATTGGGCCAGTGATGATTGCCCTGGGTCTTGGACTCATCTGCTTTCTTCTTCTTTGCACTAGGGTATGGAACACCGTATGGTTACAGCACAGCTGCCCCGGCCTATGGTATGTATACCATCTTACTGATACCTCCTTTTAGCGACTGTCACAGCAATTCAAAGCACAGTTTGTACCTAGGATTTCTGTAAATGAATTGGAGGATCTCAGACCTATTCATTCTAGTGACCCAACTTAAATTCCCTTTGAAAATGCCACAACCTTGTGGTTCTTGGTTTGGTTGGAGTTGCTCTCTTCTCTCCGCTTTGCCTGATTGAAGGACTGCTTGTTCTAATTGCCTGTTTCTGACCATATTGAAATTAAATATTTTAAGTAGTTCTTCTTACAGCCAACTTATACTCCATTCAAAGGCTACTGAAGGGCCATACCCAGTTTCTAGCTTGGCTGCCTACCAGTTATATAGCTATGTTTAAGTTTCTGGTTTGGAACTCTACGAACTATGGGTAATTTGAGTCAAGAATAGGAAATGTTCACTTCAAATTTGTAGCCATCATCCTTTTCCATATATTTTGCTTTGAGGGTGAAGTAAATAGGTGTTATTGGTTCTAGAGGTGATGGATGGGGGTATCACCAGATGTGTCACTGAAGTGCTTATTGCAGAAAGTCTGTAGTACATGGTAGAATATCATAGGTGTTTTTCTTCTTTCTTGCAAAATAAAAAATAAAAGCAAATTCAGAAATGAACCCTAGTGGCCCTTTGGATAACTTTTGAATGAGGTTTATGTGGCAATGGAGGCAGTAGGTTTGGAGTCAGTGATATGCTTTTAAACATTTTTCCTAACTCAGGTGCTACATCTTATAGAATTAGCCATTTGCAGGACATTGTCACTGAGAGAAGAAGAGAGCAAGAGAGTGTATGTGTGCGTGTGTGTAAGTGTGTGTGTGTTAGCGCAAACCAGGCTGAGTGTGCATGCACATAGAAGGGAAAAGCTCTTCCTGTATTGCCACTTTTGGCATTAGTCCTCTACATGAGCTTCAGACTTTCACATTGTGGTTTTTCTCTTTACACATCAGCTTTGCCATTTTTGTTTGGATGAAAATTGTGGGTTCTTAAGCCACTGCTAAACTGAAGGTTCATCTGATTTCCTAACTGTAGAAATAGGTATAAAGTGAATAGTTTGAACACCTTGCCCAATAAGATAGATAATTTATATCCTGGAAAGACGTGAAGTTGGTATGGTCAAACATTTGGAGCAAGTTTTCTTTGAGGCAAAGTGTGGAGCCTGGAGTTATATCCTTGACCTGAATGTCTGCTCTGGCACAATCAGGTATGGTCAAGGCTTCCCTATATTTTGAGCTGGAGCGGGGTGATTAGGAATTGAAGATGGATCTAAGAATATGCTTTCCACCCAGATTTCCTTCTAAATTTAAACTTTCTAATGCTTTTTTGTTTGGCCATTTGCTTTTATCATTCAGCTAGCTTCTGGATATCCTGACCACCTCATCCTTCCTGTAAATTAGGTCTGGTCAATTTATCCAAATATATTTTGACTCACTAGACTCACTGTACTATGTCTTGTGTAAATGCCAAAGTATTCTGGGGCAGGTTTTTAAGTCTGTGTCTTTCTTTTAGATTATATAGTAAGTTTCAGATTTTTAGTAAAGGTTTGCTAGAACTTAATTTTTTCCTTTAAAACACTTTTATATCTAGACTCCAAGTTACATTCATGTTTTTCCTCAGTCTTTTAATTTTTCTCTCTTGTTCCTCCCTTTCCTCCTTTAACATATTTTCACCTTGCGGCCTCTGAGCCCCCACTTCAGAAGGCTCCTCTCTTCCATGTGCCATATAACTGACTTCCAAAGCTGGTGAAATTTGATGCCCCCATTTTTCACATAAAAGATTTGGTTTTTAAATGTTACTGTGATGCAAACCTACTAAAACGATGCTTTATTTTGGCTGTAAGGTAAATATGTCTTTTGGCCTTTGTAAAGCTGTTGCATGTGGGGTAATTTCCCTCTGATCATCTGGTGCTCTTGAATACCTGCTGTTGCTGCTTTGTGATTTCTCCATAGGTTAAATATTAGAGTAGAAATAGGAGCAGATTTCAAATCATGCTTGGGTATGCAGAAGTTTGTGAGGCCACAAGAACGTATTTAATTACAAATTAATTAAGCAATTAATCTTTCCAGATTTGCCATGCCAATACTGGCAGTAGCCATTGAGAAGAGAGACACAGACCTGGTCATGGCTCCAGTTGAGCTGTCTTTCTGGGCAACTGAGGCCCACACAGAAAGTTTACTTTGATTCTTGACAACCTTTGTTTCTTTTGTTATATGTGATGTGCCAAATTGAGAACTATATGGATTTCTAGAGTCACTGTAGAATATATTAATCAACAACTTTGCCTTTGGTCTTTAGAATTTGTGGCAGCTCACACAAATGAAATTGCTTCCTATGATGTAGCCATCTTCATTTTGAGTGGAAAATACTATTTATCAAACTATTCAGAGCAATTTCAAAATATATCTGTGAGAGATTTGTGGGCCTCTTCCAAAATGGTACATGTTGACTGACTAATCTGGAAAAGGTTAATGGTAATTATTGTAAGATTTTTTTTTTTTACCTGAAATTTTTATTGGCATATTAAACTTATTTGGAGTCCTCTCCGTTTCTTTTCTCTGTAGGTTTACCCAAGAGAATGGTTCTGTTGCCCGTTATGAAATTCCCAACATATCCTGTTCCCCACTACTCATTCTTTTAGCAAATGACAGAAGCTAATTCCTATTGAATACAGTACAATACAGAATGTTAGAGAAAAAGCCTTTTTATTCTGCTTTCTTTGAACACATACTTGATCAAAATTATTTGTAAAGAACATCTTTCCTACTTTTTGATTTTAACAAATGCAAATTTAGTTCTCTAAAACTTGAAAACAAAAAAAGAAACCAGTTCTGTGAAACGGTACCTCATTTCTGGAAAATAACTTATACCAGCCCTTCTGTTCTAAGGAAATAAAAGTCTAGCAGTTCAAAGTTTAAGTTTTAAGAGAAGTATCAGATTATGTAAAATTAAATTTGTGAAGGATGTATAGAGTCTCAAACACTGATCACAAATAAACTGCTTTGTTGTGACACAGAGTACTGCCTGGTTCCTGATGCAGTCACTGATTCTCAGCTGATTGATATGTATTTGCCCCAGGGCACTTTAATTGGGCTGTAGTTATTTTTTTTAATACAATAGAGACTTTTCATTTAAACTTTAACTTTGTAAATATTGAAGTGTGTAATTAAAGCCAATAAAATATGGGTTTGAATATTGTTTTAGCTTATTATTTTTGATATGTTTTGGTATCAAATTACAAGGAATTGAAAACTAATTACAACTTAGCCCTAGAAGCCCATTCCTTTGTAAGCAAACTGCTACAACAAAGCAAAGGCAATTGTTAGTTTGAGCCAGTCTACTTACTTTGTAAGCCCTTTGTGCAAGGGCATCCCTGCGATAAAGGTTATATTCTGTTATCCAAGCAATTGCTTATTAAAATGATGGTACTACCCAGAGATGGGGAAGGAAGAATGTGATTATTTAGTTTCCGAATTTCCAAGTTTTAAAAAATAATAAATTAATCGATCAATCACCTTCTTTTGTTCTTGTGGCCTTCTTCACTCTGTAAGATATTGTGTTCACTCCCTGGCCTTTTTCATGCAGATAGAAGATTAGCTGTTTTGCTGGGATTCATTGAAGGGTCTCCTTTCCTCTTCAATTACATCAGAATCTAAAGCAGCAACAGGGTCCCCATAAAAACTTGCTCTTCGATTGTCCCAGTTCTTGTTGAGTGCTGCTGTGAAAAGTGACAGGTTTCAGCCATGGGTCAGCATTTATTTTTAAGACACCTGATTATGCTGGTGGAAATTGATCAGTCCGGTAACATTGTGCTGTTCTGTAAAGGGTGCAGACCTAAGTCCTCCACTTGCATTCTCACCTTGTTTGGAAAGCCGATGATGTTACTAGAAGGTAATGGTTTCATTAAGGTACTCACCCCCATGAACAGCAGTGGGTTGGTCCCCTGTTGATATTTACTAGTTTCTGTGTCTTAAAAATGTCTGCTTTTAGTATGAATTAGCTCTCCTTTCCCCTATTAAATTCTCCATTTTGGAATTGAACAGTGCTCATCAGTAAGAATGGGCTTCACAAAATATGGCAAATTAATGTACCAAATTACTTTGGGACCACTAAATGAGTGATGTAAAACAAATGATAGTGTCACTTCTCAGATGTATTTACACAATGATTAGTTTGTTTCTTCTTCTTGACCTTTTGTCTTTATTAGTGGTGGGTGATACTTTAATAAAATCTCATCACTTGCTGGAAGTAGCTGTAACTTACCATTTTCATCCTGTGCATTAGTGGCTAGACATAAACAAGAGGGCCCATTTCAGATGGGAATTTTCATGTTTCATTGATTCGTTTTGCTGACCTATGGATGAAACAGAGCCATCACTGAGAAGAAAAAGCATGGCTGATAGTGTCCAGTTTTTATTAATTATTTATAATAGTCCTCTTTGTTTTTGGATTACTATTAATTGGCAGTTGCAGCTGTATTGTTATTTGAAATTGGATCATCAAATTTGGATTCCAAGTTGGAATCTCTCTGGAGATTTCTCTTTAGAAAATTCTTTTGAAGTAGCTGACTCTGCTTCATAGCTCAACCCCTCTATAATGGAGAAAAGGGAGCTGTGCTGTTTTCCAACATGATGGCAGTCATTTCAAATGGTTTCTACCAAGTCTTTTTTTTTTTTTAATTTTGTTGTTTGTTGGAAGTTACTAACCATGTTGTAAACCTGCCCAGTTGCTGCAAACTTTTACATTTCTCTGCTTTACTTAAAATAATCGAGCTGTCAGTCCTTTGTTAGAAGTGGTAACCATGCAAGTTCAACTGTTTAAATTCTGTAATGAATTAAGTGTCCCCCCCACCTGTTGCCCTTCCCACCCCTCCATTTTGTAATGAAAATTCCACTTACAGCTGAAAGAGCAGAGAAATATAAATGAAGCTCTTGGCTTCACCAAATTGTGTGAAATTAACGTAAAGTTTTGCTTCTCTGCTCTTTTCTCCACTGTAGGCGGTTTTTTCATTGACAGCCCCTATTGCCAGCCTCTGAGCGTCGCACCATTTATTATTCACTTGGGCCCTCAAGATTTCTTCTCTGACTTCTAGAACCATCAGGTTGTCTGGCTTGAAATGGCAATTTCTATGTCTTGGTCTTAAGAGCAATGTGACACCCTGAGGCTATTCAGCTTTCAGATATACCACTCTGACACCTTCTTTTTGAAAACAATGACTGAGCATTTTAAAGAAGAGCAATACTTTATTCAAAGCCACGGTGTCTGTGTTAAAACTTTTCCTTTGGAAACCTAGCAATATCTGTACTTGACCCCTCTTAGCATAGTTTCTTGTCAGGGAGTTACAGACCAATGTAGAACTTAGAATTAGTGTGTGAGCTGTGCTATCTTCTGACAGTTTTTAAACTTTTTTAGCACATAAATTCGAACAGCTACATTCCTGACTGCGTCAGCACTATTATAATTTCTCAGAGATGGGGGTCCTCCTTGAAGCCATATCCTCTGCATGGGGACTGGCGCCTAGCCAGGGATGTGGCTTGCACCCTGTGTTTCTTCAGGCTGCAGGAGTACCCCATCTCTTGTGCAAGGTAATTGGTCCAATAGATTTCCAACATACCTCACGCTGACTAGATGGAATGCATGGTACAGTGAAGCAAGAAGTTGGGTTTACATAGTTCTTGAAGTCATTTGTAGTCTCTCTCAAATTGTTAGCCTGGGGAACAAACCACTGATAGATTTTGCTGGTATTAGCCTTTTATTTTCTTCTTTTTTAAAAATTTGAGTGAATGTTTGAAAATCATGAATCGGTCACCATTATTAATTGAAGAGCTGGAAATACCTCGTTAATGTATTTATAAAACTGGTGTTGGACCCTCTGTGTATTTCAGGTTAATACTTTTAAGCAGTTTTCAGCACGTTTATCTCACTTTATTCTCGTTCTCCTCGGACCTTCGTAGCCATATCACTTGTATAAAATAGGCTGAGATATAGTGACTGTAAGCTGTGATCTCAGTATACAAAGGTAAGCTCTTTTATTTTCTGATTAAAGAGAAAAATAATTAATACAACATGCATATATGACAATCATATATGATGTATTTGATCTTTTAGGTCTTATGTCATCACATTACCTTTAAAAATTTTATGGTCTAAATGTAAAATAGTTATTTTTCAACACTTGTTTTAATACCCTTGTAACTGCTTTTTATTCAAGAGAGACATTTTACTTTTGCTGAGTTACATGTGTAACGTGTGTAGAATATGTGCAGAAACTTAGAATATAAAATGTATGTAAATTACACACACGTACCTGTTTAAATATAAGAATTCACTGGTAGGAACAGTTCACCTAAGAAGATTTTAACGACAGGGCACTGTTTTGGCCAAAGTGGTGGAATTTCATAAGCAGCAAGATTGGTAACAGTGCTGGTAGGATCCATATATGTCGCTGTTATACAAGCTGAGGATCAAAGTGCCAATTTCTCATTCTCAGAGAAATAAAAATCCTTGATCTGTGTTGTATTGCCCCAATACAACAACAGCAAGAAGCCATAAAAAAAAAAAGCAATAGAAAATGAAAAAAAAAAACCAAAATATTAAGGTAACTATGGAAAAATATGTAATGAACTGAGTTAAGCTAATTATTTGCAGAACCAACTTTAGCAAGACTCAGAATGGTGAATACCAAGTCTGCAGAGACCAAATAGACTTAAGGCAATTTATCTGTCTTTTCTAGGTTAGGTAGCTTGACTATTTATTTCCCACCTTATTCAACCATCATGGAGTTTGTTTAAAAGATTTGAGAGAGTTAGGCCAAATATTTTAATAAGGATTTGCTTCATTTAGTATGTCCCATAAATGCATTTCATTATGTACTAGATGTTTTGTGCTAAGGCTGTATTTGATATATAGATATTAAAATGAATTTCATGTTTTATATTTGTTTCTAAGTAGCAGTTTCTTTTGATGACTAACTTAAAGGTTGCTGGAACAACTTTTTTTCCATACAGAATCTGTATGTACATTAATGTGGCTTTGGTGTCCATAAAAAGGTTGTGCGAGGTATAGCTGACTAGTACCAACTGCATGCCAGTCCTGCTTGAACAGCCCAGTACTTGTCATGTGTTAGGTTCTTTTCTGGGTACCAGTGAACAGAGGCTCCAACCAGTGGAAACATTTTAAGTGTGAGAGTCTCCTTGTTGGGGAATTGGGCCTATTATAAATAGGACCCATTAATACACTATTTTGGGAGACACATAGTGTTAGCTGTGGCAAAAAGCATATTAGCTTAGTTAATAGTTTAATTATAAATGATTGAATGATGTGTAGGGTCTTTGACATCACTGAAATAGGCATCACTTGGAAATTTACCCATTTAAAATATTTTTCTGGCAGTTTTGAGAGCCTGAAACCTACTCAGGTTTATATTCATGGACCTCTTTCCAAGTAAGTGAACTGAGTGAAGTGAATAACACATACATTAGTCCTTTTTATGTAGTTTTTATGGTACAGCAAAGAACAAAGTGGTTAATTTAAAACACTGACCACATTTTTGTGATGAAAAATGAAGGGAGTTTTACTCTTTTAATCAATCCAGTTTCCCTATTTCTTAGATTTTAAGAATAATGTCAGTGGAGGAAAACCTTCAATAGTGAGTTAAGGAAAAGAACTGAGGAGATTTCCCCCTCCCATACAAGTAATTATGTTTCTAGTAACCCGGAGCCCTAAAAACCAGGAATACTAAGAGCAGTTAAAGCTGAAAACTGCCTGCTCTGTGAATGGTCTTCCCATAATTCCCATTCATCTTATGCCAGTGCCTCCTGAGAGGGATTGGGGGGTATCTCTGAAATTATCCAGAATAAGAAAGGTTCCATGATATTCAGACTCATACTGTCTAACACTGTGATGCCATGCCATGCAGTGGCCATAGATTTCTCAGTGTTGCTAGGAGGCCTGGGAAGGAGATAGGTGGTAAATGAATAACAGCAGAGCCAAGAAAACTACTGCTGAGGTGAGTTTCAATATTGACGTTTCTCTCTAGCACTTATTTACAGAGCAGAGCTAATACTTCTTATATAAGAACAAATCCTTTCCTAATATTTCCAGAAATACTGTTTTAAGTCAAGAATTCAAGTTCTGTTAGTTGTGAGAATAGATATCCTTTCCTGCATTATCATTTGAGGTAGGAGCTAACAGCTTCTATTGATGCTTGAAGCAGTGATCTTTGGAGTTTTTAAAAATAGTACCATAATGCAAATTAGGTTATGTAAGCTTTACAGCACAGCTAGAAATAGGGAATAGAAACCACATGGGAATCTAGGCCAGAGTATTTCTCTCCCTCCAGCACATTCCTGTGGGGCTCAGGGAATTAGATGAGTTAATATACAAAAAGTACTTTGAACAATACCAGGTGCCTAGTTAGTACTCAGTAAATGTTGGCTGTTCTTACCGTGACTGGCCGAAGTGAAAGGAGGACTATGAAGGAGGGCACAGCTGGGCTAACAGTTGGTTGGGAAGCAGGTGCATGGCATACTTAGGGTGGAGCTATGTTGGTTCCTTAGTGCTGACAGGTTCAGCTGCTCCCAGTCTTGGGGAGAGGACTCCTAGCATCTGGGGGTTGGACAAGAAACGCAAACCAAAGACCTGGTGAGAGCTGGTGTGGTGAGTTTGCTGCAAATCCAAGCTGAAATTGCTCACGTGTCTGCTGCAGTAGTTAGGCCACCAGCCAATCTGCTGCCAAGGTTTGTAAATACTTGGTTTGGAATTTAAGGGTGCTTAAACTTCACAAGGGCTGAGCTTAGATTATCTACCTGCTGATTCCAGGTCTTCTGCCAGTGCATTAATAATAACAGTTTTTTTAAATTGTATCTGCCCCGGGAATCTAACTTTCAGGGCTCACCAGTGTTTGGTAGGTAGAAAGCAAATTACTGTAAGCCACAGAAAGGAAAGGAGGAGACTGGGTGGCGTACTTACATGGCTGTCTGCTAAGATGCTTCTCTGAATAGCATTCCTATAGCTCACCTCACAGAGTTTGCTTCGACACCCTGAGGGGAAAAATCTGCACTCATCACATGAAGGCTCCCTTCTGTTAATATGTTAGAAAACATATCCATCCGTCTCTGTCCGTCTATCCATGTATCTGTCCATCAAGACACAGTTGGGAAGTTGATTTTCGACAGAAGAAAAATGAGTAGATGGTGAAATTGACACTGTTGGATTAAATAAAGAGTATACATTTTACTGTCCATTCTGGGCTCAAAGGTATCTACAAAGACTTCAGGAGCCTCTGAAGAAAGGTGGGCACATGTATCCCCGGCTGTTGGTAAGAGGTGAGCTAAGTGGGAAACACAGATTGAGCTCTGAAGTACTCTGTTTGTAAAAACTGTGTGTGGACAAGGACTGAACATTACCTTTAAGGAGGTAAATAAGATAGATTTGCATCTAGATTTGTAGCCAAGAAGTGTTTATTAAATCTAAGAGATATTTGTATAACTTAATGTGATGGCAGAAATCACCTGATTCTGAACAGCTGAGCCTGTTTGGTGGCATCTTTGCCTCATTCAGCCAACATTGAGGGGGAGGACCTCTTCTTTTTCTTTTTGCCTTGACCAGTTGGTTGTTAACATCCTCATTACTTGCTCCTTCTAATGTGGGTCTTGGTCTCCCTTGGCAGGACTTTGCCATTTTTGCAAATGAACTGTGCTGCCCCTGCTGGTGGGTAGGGTGCAGATTGCCACCATCTGCCTAGACAGCTTCAGGAAATCTGATTAGCGTACCCTGGCTGGGGATACGTGGTCCAGAGTTATCTTTTTCTACTGCTGTTCGGCCAGCAGGAGGGGATGGGATTAGCTTGGCTGCTATTAGGACGTTGTCTTAGCAGGTCCAAGAAGCTCAGTCTCTGTCTGCTTTGTTTGAGGTTCTCTTACCTTGATCCCTTTGGACAGTTTGGACAAATGGTCTCTGCATTTAAGTGTCAGTCAGCTAAATGCCTGAAATAATGAAGTTATCAGTAGCCTTCAGTTTAGGTCATTTTGGACTGTGGGCAGCAATAGATTAAAGAGCAAGAATAGGAGAGAGGAAGGAAGAGAAATGCCAATGTTGGTATCTCACCTGTGCCAGGCAGTTGGACAGTCCTCTTAATTTTCCAAACCACCTTCTTGGATGTGGTATTATCCCCATTTTACAAAAAAAAAACAAAAAACACCAAAAAACAAAACTGATGCTCAACGTGAAGTGCTAGAGCCAGGAATGAAACCCGTGTCTTTCCAATGCCAAAGCCTCTTATTACTCCACCATGCTATAGATTAAAAAGGCTGGGGGTGAAAGGGACAGACTGTGCTGGAATCTAGACCCTCTGATTTGAGATTGTTCCAGACCAGGTATCCTGGCCTAAAACAGGGATATGTTCTTTAATTGTGAAGAATTGTCTGACAAACTGGAAAGACAGACTGAAAGACTGCAGAGTAGTTGTATAAACAGAGGAACCTTTTTTATTTAAAGCTCATTTTTCTGTTTGACTATCAATGAGAAACTGAGGTGCATGTTTTCATTGAGTTCATGTTTTTTTTTCTGGGTGCATGCTTTCTGCCTGGTCTGAGATAGGTGATGGGGATGTCTTAAAAAATTTAAGCCAGACTCTGAAGGCAGGCCGGTGAGGCTTTGGCTCATTTGGTACAAGGAATAGAGGCATGAATGGGCAGCAGCCCAGGTGTGGGTGTAAGTGCAGGGAGGTGTCCCTGGGCAAATACTTGGCAGAGATGGGCAAATGGCAGATTGTAGAGGCCAGTTCTCATTGCCAGGAGTTTGCCATCTTCCCTCTAAGTATGGCCCATGCATGTTGAGGCCTGGTTAGATGGCTTTGGGGTCTCTAAATTGTGGCATGCAAGTCACTCTGCTGATAAATGTGTTTGATTCTCCTACTGTTGCAGACCACTTCCCAGCTCCTTTGCTGATTAATGCCAGCTGGGTCTCTGCTTAGGGGTCAGTATGTGTGGGGATGGATACAGAATTCTTTTAAGGAAAAGATATTCATCACTCACCCAAATCATCACCTTCCTTGGCAGTTGGCATTTTTTTCTGAGCACCCTGCCATAATTCTGAAGGGGAGCAGGAAGAAGAAACCTTCTTTGAAACTCAGGTTGTCAAGTTCTACAGCACTGATATGTGTGAGGAAGAATGAGTGCCCAGCATTTGTGGAACATAACATTCTGCAAAGCCTTTCCCATTCATTATTTCATTTCCTGCTCTACTGGTAGAACCTTGGAGGCATAGCAGTAAATGGATGATCGTTCCCACTCTGCAGACAGGGAAATTGAAGCCCAGAGATCTCTCCAAACCACCCTGCTTGTTTGTGGCAAAACGCTGTAGCTCCTAACCACATAGAAGAAATAACATTTCTTATACTGTTTTTACAGTTAACAGAAGCCCTTTCTTAGAGATCAGTTTTGAACTCCACCAAAACTGTGGGATCTACAAATTCTTTCCTTGTACAGATGAGGAAATGGAGGCTTAAAGTGACTTGCCACAAATTAGATAGCTGTTAAATGGCAGAGCCCACATGTTCTGACAGCACTGTGCTAATACTTGTGGTTTGTATTACTAGTCTAGACTGATGTATATCTTGTTTTCCAAGACCATTTGGCAACAGTGTAATCTCTCTATGATGCATTCTACTCACCTTTCTTCTAAACTTCTGGACTAAATCCTACATGGCTTGAAACAAAACAAGCAAAAACTAACCCACCTCTCCCTGACCCTTTCCTGGTCTCCCCGAAATCCAGACTTTCCAGGCTCATTCTTTCTCTGGTTCCTTTGGAAGAACTGTTAGTTTGTTCCTGGGCAAGGTGACCAACTAATCACCCCTGGGTTGGGCAGCCTGCTTTTTGTGAGCTGCATAACTGGGTCTATTTCCACAGACCACCTTTTTGTATTATAACTGAACTCTATAGTAAAGCGCAAATTCAGTAATTGCCATTTGGAGAGCTACTCGGGTTGGAAGGAGGGGAGGGCATGGGTGGCTGGAAATGTGCTTTTTATGTTCAGCCTCATCCATATGTTAGTTGTTGGCTGTCATCCATTCCTGGCTAGACCTTCAACATGTGCTCTATCCAAAGGGGTCACCATCACAATAACACACTTTCCAGAGCTTTAAGTGGCAGAACCTCCTTTCTGATGCTGGGATTTTCTTGAATCCTTCCCTTATATAGACAGTCTCAGAAGTTGGTCAGCTTTCTAAAATCTTTCATGCTCTTGGAGGCTGTAGTATATGATAGGCATCACCTGGGAGGTAAAAAAAAAAAAAAAAAAAAACTTGTAGAAGTTACACCTGAGGGACTGAGGAAAGCTGGGAGAGGGCACATTTAAATGAGATCAAATGGTGAGGATGTTTGAGGCTAGTGAAGGGAGACCTGGGGAGAACATGGATACTTCCATCAACTATTTTATGAGATTATATTTACTTACTGTATGTGGTTCCAGAGGGTAATGACAGATAGGGGAAGGCAGTTAGGCAGTTTGAGCTAAAGTATGCCTCCCATGATGATAGAGCTGCCTTGGGAGCACAGGTGAGGGCAGAAGTGAGCTCCATGTTTCCAGGCATGTTCAAGGAAGAAGCCAGTTGTTTGGATAGCAAAGAGGAAATTCCTCCATGAGATGTCAGTTTGGACTGAACTCTGATGTGATTGCTGACATTACCAAGACCACTTCTTGCTTCTTGGGCACATGGATTTGAGAATATAGTCACTGTCACCTGCTGCTTTTTTTTTTTTTTTAACAGGAGAAGTAGTTGGAGAAACTGTCAAGATTTTCAGCTTAGACAACTGAGTAGAAGGTGAAATCACTGACTCAGAGGGAGAGTACAGGAAGGGGGAGAAAGATGCTCAGGGGATTTTGACAGAGTAAGAGCCATCTCCTGTGGTGAGAGAAATGCTCTAGCAGGTCTGATTGGGATGTTACTCACTGGCCCTGGGATGGGGGATGGCAGGCCCAGTCCCAGGTCTCCCACCCAGTCCAGGAAAGGAGCCAGGCCTCTGAAGAGACTGACTGGTGGTCACAGGAAGATAAGTGCTTAGCATTGAATAACTTACAAAGAGTTATAGGGGCACTGACAGAAGTGACCCAGACTTCTCATGAAGCTGGACAAGGGTTTGCCTGGTAGGTGAATGGGGAAGGAATCTAAGGAGGGGAGGCCAGTCCCCTTGGGGTGTGTGCAGTTTACAGCCACCTCATGAAAGGCCCTGAATGCTCTGCCCTTCAGTGATTACCATCATCCAATATAGTGAGAGAATTCTGGAGGGTTGACTTGGACAGTTGGATGGCCAAGGACCAGAGTCGGGAGGACTGATGAGGAGGAGGCTGTTGCAAGTGCCAAGGTAAGGGAGGGACAGGAATGGAGTCTCCTCATAGGCCAGGCTCCTATGCTGGACTCGGGGTGGGGAGCTGACGGCACCCGCCCTAGGCCAGGGAACAGCGGTGCTCACCAGGGGGAGGGGGGCTGCCTGAGTACTCCTCCCAGACTGCTGTTCAGTAGGGTGATGTAGAGAACAGTGCTGCCGCTGACCAAGATGGGCCAGGTGGAGGAAGGGAGGAAGACGCCGACCATGTGTAGAGTCGAACGTAGTGAGGGCTGTCTGGCCTTTGGTGGGCCCAGCTCTCTTGTGCTGGTGCTCTCTGGGAAGCCTCTCTATTGGTAATCGGTGGAGAGGTTTGCAGTCTGTCGGTCAGCATCATAACCCTGAAGTTCTGCTTGGCTGGGCTTTGCAGTGAGGAGAGTAGCAGGTGCTGGGTGAATGGAGGCCTTCTGCTTTACAGAATGATAATCTGGGCAAGAGCTAAAGCTCATTGGATTCAGCATCTGTGGAACTGGTTTAGCCAGTGGAAGGTACAGACTTTTTGGAGAAGAGTCTCACTTTGTCAACTTGGCTGGAGTGCAGTGGTGTGACCATAGCTCACTGCAACCTCAAACTCCTGGGCTCAAGTGACCCTCCTGCCTCAGCCTCCAAGTAACTGAGATTACAGGCATGTTTGCCATCATACTGGCTAAGTTTTCTATTTTTTGCAGAGACAGGGTCTTGCTCTTGCTCAGGCTGGTCTCAAACTCCTGACCTTGAGCAGTCCTCCTGCTTTGGCCTTCCAGAGTGCTAGGATTACAGGCATGAGCCACTGCACTCGACCCAGACTTTCTTTACATAGTTCTTTGAGGGAAACAAATGTGAAATTATGAGATTACTTTGGGATTTGCTTTGGGCCTCATTTTTGTCTTTCTTAGTTCTGCCACCTATGCTTTGCCATGGACAGGTGGGCAGGGAGACCTAAGTAGGAGTCAGAGTGGGTTTCTGTACTTCTTTTTTATCGCTCCATAGGGAATTAGGGCTCAAGTGTCAGCTGTGGTTGTGAGCCCTTATTTCAGAACTTCGAAAGGGTTAAAGGTGTACTGAAACACTGATCCCATCAGCTTCTGGGTGGCCAGAACTCCAGTGCTATCTGTCTCTTAACTACAAGTGGCCTTGTTCATTACCCCAGCAGGCCACACAAATATTCCTGCTTTATGTGTTACACAATGAGAACGTATATGGAAAGCACTGCCATAGACCTGGTGTCAGCAAACCTTTTCTGCAAAGGGCCAGACAGTAGCATTTCAGGCTTTATGGACTATTCAACTCTGCCATCTAGCACAAAAGCAACTATAGAAAATGTGTAAATAGATTATAGACTATATGGCTGTGTTTTGATAAAACTTTATTTATAAAAGCAGTGGGCCATATTTTGCCAATCCTTGGCTTACGACTGTAAAGATTACTCACCCTTTGGCTTAATCATGACTGGAAACTTCTTCCTTTCTGCTGCCTCGATTAATCTGTATCCCCACGAAGACTTCCTGAGCATCTAGTCTTTGTGAGCACTGAGCGGAACTTAGGTTTTGAGTGACAGGTGGGAGACTGAAATGGGAGATCGGGTGATTGAAGAGCAAAATACAGAACAGGGTCAGGGAAGTCCAAGGTGACGGGGCTCAGAGGAGAGAAGGGCTGAGGGTGAATCAGGAAAGCCCTGGGAAGGAGGCCACTCTGGAGCAGATTCTTAGAGGAGGAGGAAGAGGAGGGTTTGCCAGGAAAGGGAGCAGGCCCAGATGATAGATGCCGTGGTGTTGAACAACGAGAACTTCTGTGTAGTTGCACAGGTGTGTGAGGGTCAGCTTGTGCTGGCCCTAAGTGCCAGGCTAAGGAGTGTGGGCTTCATTCTCTGGGCAGTGGGAAGCCATTGGACAGTTGTGCTCAGGAGAGTAAAGTGATTGCAGATGTATTTTAGAAATGTCCCTCTGGTCATAGAAGACCATGTCTGTGATTATAAATTATACCTTTCAGTTTAGTCTGGACTTTAGCCAAGGAATTTGTTACTCTTGGTACTAGAGTGAGACAGAGAGGCCCAGAGAAGGATGATTTTTCTGACCACTGGCTTTATCAGATCAGTGAGTGCCCGACCTTTATTTCTAGCATGAACAGAGCATGACAAAATCTTCCATCTTTAGGCTTTTTCTCTCCTGCTATGAAACATTGTCTCAAATCTAAATCTAGCTTGGGGTCTTGGTGTGTAAGGGTAAAATGGTGGGGAGACAGGCTCCCCTTGCTTCAGAGTCAAGTCACACCACAAGAAAGCTTCATGGAGCATATTTTGTTTCCTTTGTGGACACGCCCGGGCCATGGACAGCACAAAGGGCAGGCCTTCAGCGAGGTGCTGTTCTCCATTCTCCAGAAGCCTACAGACCACTGAGGCAGGTTGAAATAACTACTGCTCAGGTACATCATAGACTGCTCTGGGCAGTGCCACACGCTGGGTGCAGGGGAGACCAAGGTGAATCAGACATGGTACCTGCCCCAAGGAGTGCTCAGTGGTACTTGGGGTGATGGAAAAAATCATGTTTGTAGTGTTTTCTACTATGCAAAGTCTTTCCCCTCAGTTGTGTTTCTAGGAAGGTTGAAGGGAGATAGATACTGTCCAGAGAGCGTCGGTGAGGTGCCAAGGATGTGAGTGGCAGACTCTCTCCTTTAAGAGGAGCAAAAGTTGGGAGTGGCTGCTCTTGATGTGTGGGCACAGGAGATGGGCGTGGCTGTGACTGCGCAGGTAGGGCTGGAGAGAGACGACCTGACACAGCTGTCTTCACAGGTGCTATTTCAGTGAAGCCCGAACAGCCCTGGGGGTGCTGAAGATCACATGCAGCTCAGAAGGGAAGGCACTTGCTTAGCACCCCAGAGCTGGGAGGTGGTGGCACCAACTCCACATGTGGCTCTCCCATGGGGCTGGCAGGTCTGCACTGTAACCGCCTTCCACTGGGCCTGTGGGCGCTTCTGGCCCTCTGGGACTGGACCAGGAGGTGTGGGCTGTGGTGCTGCCCCAGGGGGGCAGGAAGCCACTGAAAACTTAAGGAATTGGATGCTGCTTGCTCTCAGTGAAGTTGTTTGGCAATCTCTGGGATTGGATGAGGGCTACAGAAGGGAAAGACCCCTTTGAGGCACATTGGCCACTCTCTTCAGACGTGCGTGGCTCCCTCTCTGGTAGGGATGTGCCTCCTGGTCTCCTCTCTCTTAGGGACTTGGAGTGGCACCCCGGCTCTGACAGGTATGTAAATTCTTATCTCCAACAAGCAGCTCTCCTTGCATTTTCTGGGTAAGTTTCTGGGTTTATGGAAGGGAAAGTAACAAACTTGAGCCTGGCAAGTGGAGTGGGCCTTGGGTTTGGTAAAGAGAGTGCAGTTTGTCCCCGGCTGTGATGCCAGATGTGGCCTTTCCTCTGGCAGCGAGTCCTGTGCTCAGGCCCCAGTCTCACAGGACAGTCAGGCTCCGCAGTCACATACAGGCACAGACTTGTTGCCATCTGACTTCTTGTTCTGCCTCGGGAAATATGATGGTCAGAAAGTCTTTTTGACTCTAACCTAAATAATTCTGTGGCTCCTAGTAGTCAGGGTTTTTGTTTTGTTTATTGTTCATGGAAATGAATCAAGAATAGGAGTAAGAGTTTTAGGTAGTTAGGAAGACTGTAGGAAGTTCCTTCTTCACCTGTAATTTAGAAAGTTGTTTTATGTCGTCCCCCCCCCCCCTCGGCAGCTTGTGCTATCTCTACCCTTTTGGAATTTTGGTTGGTGGGTCTGTGGTAAGACACCTGTTTCCTTTAAATGTTTGTCACTTTCCAAGCCTCCTTTTGTACAGACATCTTACCTACCCCTGAGTAGACCATCCCTTTTCCTAACAATGATCGCCTTTCGTGCTCAGACAGGCGCTGTGCAGTCAGGTGAAGTTTACTCTGAGCACCCCCTTGTGGGT